AGCTGGCCGCACAGTGCCAGGCCTGGGGAGGGAGCTGGCCGCACAGTGCCAGGCCTGGGGAGGGAGCTGGCCGCACAGTGCCAGGCCTGGGGAGGCGCTGGGGGCCGCAGGCGGAGCCCCAGGTGGGGAAACGAGGAGCGGCTGGCGGGGTGGGCGGGAGTTTCTCAGCAGAGACGTCCCGTGGCCGGGGAGGCCACGCAGGCAGCACAGGGCCCTGACCCTCTGCCGCAGCGGGTCACGGCCGGAGCGTGGGCTGTGCGAGTCCCCCCGCGGCCCCTCACACTCACTTTAAATGGCGGGGTCGCGTGGTAGCCCTGTTTTTAATGTCGTGAAGGCCTGTGTTGGAGGTGGCCACGCCATCTTCCTTCCCCTTACACTTTCTTTGCGTGTGGTATGGTCTCGGGGCCCGCGGTGAACGTGGCCATGTGCTTGTGTGCTGTTCTCGGCAGGTGGTAACCTACCTGGCGGGCTGTGGCCTGCAGAGCTGCCCCCTGCTTCTGGCCAAAGGGTACCCCGACATCGGCTGGAACCCCATCGAAGGGGAGCGCTACCTGACCTTCCTGAGGTTTGCCGTCTTCGTGAACAGTGAGTCCCACGCCTCCCGGGCTTCTTAGACCATGAGGGAAAAATCACAGATGCGAATGGGGAAACAGGGGTTCTTTGTTCCGGGCATCATTTCAGGGGTGAAACTGGGGTTGTAACTTGGCAGTAGGAAATTTTCCCAGCATGCACCAGGTACTGGGCTCGATTCTTGGCAAAAAAAAAAAGTTTTTAATATTTTTGAGTGCTAATCACATGCCAGAGGCTACCAAGGGTCAGATAATTCCGACAAAGGCTTTACTCTTGAGGAGTGTGCAATCGAATGAGAAAAGCCGACACAAAGAAAGTCCGGAGTGGTGGGAAGACCAGGTTTGTGGGGCTCCTGTGTTCACGCTGTTGCTGAAGGGTGAGCCCATTGCTGGCATTCAGGCAGTGGAACCTTACACAGAACCTGTAGTCAGAGTAAGAAAAGCGATAGGCTGACAATAACATAATTCCATTCCGATTAATGTCTCTGAGGCAAGCAGGAGTATTTTATTACTGTTAGTGGGAAAAATCATTTCCTTTCCACCCAGCTCCTCCAGATGTCAGGCCGTGAATGAGGGGTAATACAGACAGTGCAGAAAGCCTGTGAAGGAAAGCTCTGTGAACATGCATACTGTGATTAAGTTCATCATTCATTTTGAAACTCAAGAGAAACATTATTGCAAGCCCTTGGGCAAAGCCAGTTTACCTCAAATCAATCTCCAGGTCATTATTCAGCTTAACCAGAGGGTGTGTGGTTGGTGTCAAGCTGGCCGAGCCGGAATGATTGATGAAGCAGTGTTCCCGCTCTTCCAATCATGCTGCTTTCCTGCTTGTGAAGTCTTTGCAAGTTCTTCGCCCTGGTCCCCGCGCTGATTATCAATAGGAGTTGCACTTCACTTCCTTCCTCTTGCTGGGCGGTCCTGCGCTGTCTCTCCTGCAGATGTCGGAAGTCCAGTATCAAGGAACGGCTTCCTGGTTCAGTTGTGGGAGCATTAGCCTTGCTCTAAAGACCTGAGACCTACTTAAAATAAGGCTCATTGAACACATACATTCTAAGGGAAAATTTAACACAAAGCTCTCTGACTTAGCGTTTCAAGTTCTGATGCACTTTGTAGTTACGTGTCCCAAACCCTAGTCACTGAGGAGAGTTGAGCTGAATTCCACCTGCGGAAATGCTCATGGCTCCCCCAACCACTGCTGGGGGGGGAAAGAATCCGAAAATGGCACTTCAGTGAGCTTGAAGTTTCAAAGTTTCAGCTTTCTTCTTCTTATTACTGTTGTTATGATTTTTAAGTGGTTTTAGTTAAAAGGAGTTACGAGTCAGGTTTGGGGTACAATACTTCATGTTAATGGCACCCCTTCATTCTCCTCCATATCCCTCTCCGTCCCTTCCTGAAAGTTACACGGTAAGCTTTATTCATATAGCGAAAAACTACAAACCTGGCATGGTGGCACACGCCTATAATCCCGGCATTCTGGGGGCAGAGGCAGGATGACTGCAAGTGCAGGTAGGCCTCAGTGGCAAAGAGGATTCTTTGTCTCGGAGACCCAAAAGACAGAGTGGTAGGGGAGAAAAGGGAGGAAGGAGAAAAAGAGGAAAAGGAGAGGAGGGAGTGAAGAATGGGGGGGCAGTCTAGGAAGATGGGCGATTGAAAGTAGTGAACCGTGGGTTGCGTCACGGTCTAGTGTTTGATCTAGAATGTCTGACCCCTCTGGACTTTCACCGAAGCGCCTTCCCTGTGCGCAAGCCGTGTCGATACAGATGCCAGGCCCGAGGCCTCTCAGCCTGCACTGACCCGCAGCGTCACACGGTCTGAGCTGGCTTATAAAGTGCGCGGCGTCATTCCGTCTTTCTTCGGGTTTTCTCATCCTTGAACATTTACCACTTTCACCATCCTGGTCATTATTTTTTACCCTTTGACATCTCTGGGGAGTTTTTTTCATTAATAAAACTAATTTTTGATGTTGTACATACTGTTGCATGACATTTGAAGACAAGCTTTTTTGGGAGACAAAAAAAAAAAAAAACCCTCAGAGCTTGCACCTGCTGGACTGAAGCCGCACCTCCAGGGTGCGGTTTGCTTGTCTTGAGAACAAGTTTTGCCGTGTAGCTCAGACTGGCTGAGACCTTGAGATCTTCCAGCCTCTGCTTCTAGTGCTGACATTAAGTTACAGGCGTCCCCCACCACACCCAACTCCCTGAAGACAAACTCTCTGTACACAACTTTTAGGTTCTTCTTAAAGAACAGAGTGAATGGGCAGGCTGGGATGTAGCTTCGTGGCAAAGCATTTGCCTAGCAAGTGCAATGTCCCGGGTTTGATCCCCAGCACTAAAAAATACAGTTACAAAAAAGTGTGAATGGCCACTGATAAGCTCTTTAAATTCAGCTCAATGAAAAATTGTCTGAGTCCTATAACTGAGAATCGGGTGCTGTCTTTTGGAGGGAGAATTAAATAATTTACACACACACTTACACCATCTTAAGCTGCTGGTGGTGGCTATACTTGTAATCCTGATTTCAGAGGGAGTGTGAGCTAGGCGTAGTGAAGGACTTACATAATGAATAGACTATGGCAGAAGGTAGAACGGAGCCCCACTGCTTCCCCTCCTCTGCTTGGACATGGCTCCACCTCACAGAACCCCAACTTCCCTGGAAGGAGGTCAGCCAGAAGGCGGCCCCGCGCCTCAGGCCTGAGCTTGGGCTGGGAGCTAGCAGGCAGCCTGCGCGGGGGGGGGGGGGCTGCCCCACCCGGCCCCCCCTGCAGCCTCCGTCCCCCGCTCAGTCGGTCCCAAATCCCTGGCGATGGAAACTGTGGCGTAACACGCGTGAGTTATTTTAGTCTGCTGAGGCCTGAGGCATTTTCTACACAAGAATAAACAACGCAAACGCCCACCACCATGCAGTCCCTCCTGCGTAGCCCAATCCTCCAAGAAGTGTCTTAGGGTTCTGAGCAATCATTTCTCTGAAGGTCTCCACTAGTCTGCAACATCAAGTATCTTACCTCGCCATGGAATTACCCATGTGCACCCCTGCTGCTGTTCGTGTGTATTTCTAAAGCATAAGTCTTGCCGGGTTCTGTTGCCAGCGCCGCACTGTTTGCTCTCCTGAGTACACAGAAGAGGGTTCAACTATCAAACGATGTTGTTTGAGGTAGCGGTGCACCTGCTTTTGAACACACACGTGGGGTCTGAGAATCAGTGGCTCCACACTCGCTCCTGACCACCCGGTCAGGAAAATGACGCTTCGTCCCAAGTTCTGTACCAGCAGAACACAGACCGCGCCTGGCCTTCCTGTGGAGCGTCACAGGGCACCAGCTGAATAGCTAAGGTTAGACCCTCGCTCAGTCCCCCCCGGGAGCTAGCCTGTCCTCTGCCAGGGGTGACGGAGGACCAGAGCCGGTCAGCATCTCACCTCCGTCAAGGAAGGAAAGCACCAGCATTCCCACAGCTACCCAGTTCTCTTAGTCACTGGTGACCAGTTCCACAGCAGACTCCGAACCCTGAAAGTAGGGTGACTAACTGCAATACGGCTCACCTCCTGGGAAGAACTTCTGGGGTGTTCTTTCTAGTGAGGAGGAAACGGTGCCCCTCTCCCTCAGGTGAAAGCGTGGAGGAGAATGCCAGCGTGGTGGTCAAGCTGCTCATCAGACGGCCAGAGTGCTTCGGGCCAGCGCTGCGGGGCGAGGGGGGCAACGGGCTGCTGGCGGCCATGCAGGGCGCCATTAAGATCTCCGAGAGCCCGGCTCTGGACCTCCCCGCCCAGGGGTACAAGAGAGACGCGTAAGCGCAGGCTGCTCCTTCCCCCGGGGGGCGGGCCTCGGGACACCGAATCCCCCCACCCCA